GGGGGGGGCGGTGGAATCTCTCCAATAGGACATAGTGGTGTCCTATTTGCACGATTTTCAAAGTGATATTATCATTCTGTACCTTACAGATCCATTCCAGATTCATTGTGCACATAAAAGACTCATTTTCATCATAGAGCTAACACATTTACTATGGAGGTACTTCTTCCGCTGAACTGAGGTTGATTTCCACTGACATAGCTGGCACAATTTATTTTTCAAAATAAAACATTAGAAATAATACCATTATTTATTACAAACATACTTTGCTATTTCAACAGTATGCAGGATAACTTACTCAAATTTGTTTGTAAGCAATTGACAAATATGGTTGAAACGCTAACACATTTACTATGGAGGTACTTCTTCCGCTGAACTGAGGTTGATTTCCACTGACATAGCTGGCACAATTTATTTTTCAAAATAAAACATTAGAAATAATACCATTATTTATTACAAACATACTTTGCTATTTCAACAGTATGCAGGATAACTTACTCAAATTTGTTTGTAAGCAATTGACAAATATGGTTGAAACACTTAAAAAAAAGAGCATCAAAATTGTTTTGACATTTAGTTCTAGAATTTGTAAGAACAACCCAGGTTTCTGTGCCTACAAATTCTAACATCAGCAGGCAGAATTATCAAATAGTTTGCAAGCGTTAGCTGTCTGCAAGTCAGAGTTTCCCGGAACACAAAGAAAGAGCAAACAGTTCAAACTGCTTTTAAAATTCTTATTACTAAAATGTTAGAACCATGATTCTGAGAAGTGCTGGTTATACACAAATCTTGACTTTCATCAGTGATACTAATTGACACAAGCATTTTCACATTTGGTATGTGTGAGAATATCAAGGCCTTATTTATCACTATACTGTTCATTTTCAACAATGATGTACTATTAATTTTCTAATTATTTACTTCCAAATTAATAGTTTAACTATTTGAAATTGATAAGAACATTCAAACATGAATTTAAACCTCACAAGCTGTTTGCGCAACTCTGGTTTCCTCTGCATTCTGAACTTTGGCCTCAAAGCTTTTAGTTCACTTCAATACTAAGCCCAAATGACTGTCATGTGTATCAGCAACAGTCAAAACAAGTTCAACATTAACCAGTACTGACCTGGACAACAAGTCCATGAATACCACAGGTCAACTTTCCATCACGAAAACTCCATGTCTGGGTAGTACTGCGCCGTCGATCAGGCTTTCTCAACATCAGGGGCTCGTACCTGGAACGAAAGCATGCCACCCAATACTGAGAGGGTTCCAACTTCTCAGTTTTACCCTTGAGACATGTTCAAGCTCATTTTCCTAATCTCACTCCTGAAGTGCTCTTTTAACAATCTGCTACTGAAAATACATTAGCCATGCTTTTAAAGATTTCCAAGTCACAAAAGTGATGATGAAGTCCGTTCACAAAGACAGATAAAAGCTAGCTCTTCCACATGCCTTCAGAATAATTTCTTTCCTGATTCAGAGAATATCATGTTAAGTATGCTTTCAAAGACACGGTTAGAATCTACATGAGCTTCCTGAGAAACTGTATTTGCAATACCTGTTATCTGTGACAGCTGCCAGACCTGCAATATCTAAAATCATACACGAGTCCACAGACCGAGGAGAAGGTTTATGGGGGTTATGAGGAACTGAAGAACCTTCATGGCAAAGCATTCCTGTGCCCGTCATTCTCCAAAGCTGGGATCGTTTTCCTGGTTCCTGTTGCATAAAAATTCAACATTTAAATGAACACAATAGTACAGAGCAAGTATCTCTGTTCTGTTTTGCTATCAGATGCTTTGAATTATAATTCTTGGAATGACTTGTATAACTTCAGAGTCCTGAATTAGAAACTAGTTTGTATAAAAACATCTAATTCAACTCTGATATTCAATGAATATGCATCCTACGTTAGCATTGGTAGATGCAGAGCTGTATTTACAAGCTATTTTTAATCTCAGCAATATTTAAATATAGTTTCTATTTCTTAAGAGCTCCAGAAATAGAAGACTTAGCTTACAATGCAACCAAAAAGGAAGCATGCCCTATCTTGTAACTTCATTAGAACCTCCAACATACAATTATTACCACACTTGGTTGTCTTACAGGCATTTACAATGTTCCTTACTACTTTTATTCCAATTCCCTTTTCTGTCACCCTTACCCCCATAGTCTTACACAGAAGCACCACCATAATTCAAGCAACCTGAGTTGCAATAACCTGTCACTTTCAGTGGAGCCTGTCTCCACCCTTTAAAAGTTGCCATGAAAAAGTTTTTATTTTTTCCTTCTCCCAGCACAATTTTACTTCAGCACATAGCAATGGCATTTTAGTAAAATCAAATGTGTCTTGGTACCTTCTTTTTCAGTACAACTCGTTGAGTCTTTGGAGAAACATCAAGGACAAGCTCTGCATATGCAGCATCCTTATTTGAAGCAACTGGTCTTACACCTGGCTCCTGTAAACTAGAACACCAAGAAAACATCGTCATTTCAGAGTAGCTGCTTCCTCTGTAGATTGAATTAGACCTGTACCAAAATCCAGTTGAGGAAGCTTACACTTCCAATACAGCCAATCAGACAAAAATTTATATTGGGTTTTTTCCCTCTTGTCATTTTTGGAGTTACCAGTGTAAGCGATCAATTTGACTACATTCTTAAAAGGGGCTTTGATTTCTCACTGTGACTAGGAACTTCACAGGCAAGTAAGATGAATTCCAAAGAAAATTTTCTACCTTATATTGAGGAAAGCAACAAAGCATGTATCAATCTCCCGTAGCTGTTTTCAACAGCATACAAACTAGTGCAAGTTTAAAATTCACAGGCATGTCATAAATAGGTATGTCCTGTAGTCAAGTGTTCTTAATCCACCAAATAAAATTAAGCCCCCAGACGTGACCCTAAACATCCCTGCTCTTCTAATATTAGACAGTGGGGTCACAACAGATGCCATATGCTAAATCTTTCTCACTACGTGACAAAATAAACAATGGCAACCCACACCAATAAAGCTGAATTACCACAACCAAACCAACTGCCAGACTCAACTGAATTTTGGCATTTCTTCTGCTAGCTACAAGGTTGACAAAAGTTTAGCTGTATTTGAAGAACTTTCAAATTGCAACCATTAAGAGAATATTAACGTAAAGCCTACAGAACACCATGAACATTCAAAATATTTTCATCTAATATATAGGGAATTACCTTGAGAAAGTATATGTAGCAGCAATATAAATGAAGTTTTCATAGTAAAGCTGCTTGCTATCTTGGAAGTCATTCATGCTACAGACGATTTCTGAGGAGCCTGCCCCTTTAACTGTCAGCATTATAAAAGGTGGTAGAATAGGTTCATCCCATGCATAATCCAGAGAGGTCATGGGCTTCACTTCAGTGTAGAGCCTTGGCTCAACAACACCGTGCTGATTAAAAACAATTGGGACCTGTAACAGTTACGAAAGAGGATTTCGTTTCACACAGAAATTGTTAATCAGATAGACTTTTTGCTATCATTTGTTCATTTTTCAGGAGTTGATCACTGAAACATGTTCAGCTCACTTTCCCACTCTCCCCAATGGTTTCATATGCATTTTCTTCCATTCCGAGTCTCAATTAAATGAAGTCTCAAAGGGACGAGAAATGTCACCTTTGCTTTTATCTGTCATCCGTGGTTCAAAATGTCTTTAGCCCCATGGTAGCATCTCAAACCCTCCTAATCAAAATTAGGAGACCTGCCCAGTTTTATTTAACAGTTCAGTACCAAAATCGGAATGAGATCCACTAACTATTAAGACCTCTGTCTCCTGCTCTGATCACAAGGCAGTCAGTAAGTTACTGTAGAATACACAAAGTAAATTCTCTGATTTTTATAATCACTGACATGGAAGCCCAAAGACAGAAAGGAAGTGGCAGCAGTAACTCGAATTCTTTTTACAGGTTATTCAAGTGCTGAAAATAACACAGAACAGATTACAAATTACCACCCCAGCACAATTTTCTCACCAGTAATAATGCTCTTCCTTGTAAGACTTTTAATGCACTCACGAAAGCCACAATGTTAGCACTATTTGAACAAGATGAAGTAGTTGAGTACTACCAATTTTTACTAAAACTTCAGAAAATTACAATTATTATATACAAATATCTCTTGCTACACACACTTTCATTTTATTTCATTACACAAGCTAGTCAGCTCCCTCTTTTAACAAATATAAAAGAACTACTTTTCTTTTTTTACTAAAAAATAAAAGAAAAAAATGTGATTTTTTTGCTCTTTTACCTTGGAAAAATTGTCTATGCGGAAAGGTGGCGGTAACTGATCTGTATCACTGAACGCAATGCGGTATGTGGCTCCTTGAAGAGTAATTTCTACCCTTAAGAAGTAACATTTTCCGAGGGTGTCCCTGAACAAAAACAAACAAGTGCAAGAGACGTAGGCTTCTGATCTGCATTACCCACAGTCCTAAGTGTTAAACAGCTGCTTCCATCAAAAAATGGAAGTATGCTACAGAAGATCTATATGTAATAACTACCTCATATTAATATGGAACGAATTATTTTTGTTGACCTCAAAGCCCCCAGACCAAATGCAGTTTGGGACATCCATTAGTCTCACACATAATAGTTGATCATAATCGTTACGTGGCCAGTGGAACACAACGCTGGAACCGGGAAGCGTGGAGATATAGCCATCAGGATTGGATGTTCCCTAATAATAGAAATTGGTAAATACATATCCTATAGGTATTAAAAAATACAGTATTAAGCTATATATCTCTCAAATATGAACACAGCAGTTATTCTGTTAGGCGGATGCTGGTATTAGAGTAATGAGAAAGATCCTCATAACCAGCCAACAATACTTTCAAGTGTGTTCTTTTTGGTTAGTAGATGCTGTGACTAACTACAGGTATTGTAATAAGTAACAAAAACGAAGCATCTTACCCGACCTCTGGCAAATTCCCGCTGAACAAAGGCAAGCTTGTAGGTTGATTTATTATCTAATAGGTAACGGGGCGCAAATGTTACCATGCATGTATCAATGTAACGGCCTCTGCCTTTTTTAACATCAATACCTAGTTATAAAAACAAGTTAAAAATAAAGCTATTATTTACAAGAGAAAACAAAAGACATCTGCCACGATATATTTCACATAACAAAAGTTCTTCTTCTTGGGTTCCTGAGATGCGCTGTTTCTGCCATACCACTGCCATATTTTGAAACATTATTTTAAACAGTAAACATAATCTTATGCCATCTGTTACCCTCTGTTTCTCAAATACAATTTAGAGATCATAAGCACTGAAGATAAAAAAAAAAACTATTTCCAATCACAAGTAAATCAATGCACGTAATTATTACACTTTTAAACATACGAAAAATTCCTCCAAAATCAATGTGAAGTAACTTCCAAACTGTCATTTAATTAAAGCCTAAAAGCTTCCGAGGAAATTGTACTTTATGTACACCAGGAGCACAAGGAAGACAGAAGTTGCGCTCCTCCACATCAGCCTCCAGAGGCACCACAAAGCAAAAACCATAGAAGTAGCACATGGCTGAACGGTTACAGTATATAGACACTCAAAATAATTAAAGACAGTAATGCAGTGGGATTTCAAATGTACTTAGACGTAACATACAGGAGGAATAAAGACACAGAAACAGAAAGAATAGTTTGTAAATGCAGTTATTAACACTCAATGATAAAATGTAAAAATAAACATAACTGAAAACTGATTTTTAAGCTAATGAAATTCAAAATAAAGGTGTAAAAATACTTAGAATACTATTTTTTGTTTAATAATTTTCTCTGGACCCTCAAAAACCTTTAACAACATATGTTTCCCGGCTGTAATTGTTCTGTTTCTGATGTCACTGACATCATGTCTTAGCAAGTTCTACAGTATTTCTCAAATGTTCCTATCAACACATACCGATGTTATAAATGAGGCCTGGCCGGTTTCCATGTTGGATCACTTTAAGGGCTCTCACACCACTACCACCATCCAGGGAGAAACCCTGGCACCAGCCAGGCATACCTTCAGGATGGATTCCTTTTCCAACCCGCATTGTACAACTAAGGGTAAGAAGAAAACACAAAGATTTACTCATTTAAATGAAGGATCAGACATCAACACGATGCTGATGATCAAACACATACCCAGATACAAAAAGAACACCTGTGTTTTAATACAAAAGCATTAGAAGCCACGATAAATCTCTTCTTTAGTAATTCATTCTGCATTTCTGCCATAAGCTCTTTTAAGATATTGGTCAAGATTCAGTGACCGTTTCTTGTAAAGGCTTGGTAATTTTCAGACTGATTATCCACTACAACATCTGTGTGTCTTTTTTCTTTGAAAGAAAAAAGAAAAAAAATTGAATAAATTTTTGTGATAAATTTAACTGTTGTTCATTTGAGCAAAAATCCCAGAACATTTCAGATAAATTTACTTTAAATCATGTTCTTATTTCTTATTTTCATGGAAAAAGCAAGTTCTCTCCTTGATGTCAGTTAAAGTCGTTGAAAAGTTTCCTTTCCAAAATCCTGCCATTTCCTTTTACATCAGAATCACAATAGCTCTGCTGCATGTGGACTTCCTACTAAGTGACTGCTACTACTTCTCTATTAACATTCAGAGTTTAGGATTAGGGGTTTAGAGTGGGTTTTTTTAGTGGTAACAAAGTGATTTATACAAGTCGGCAAGTCCCTTCAGAAAGGTTTCTGATTTTCTTACAAAAGAAGCATGAGTTCAAAACATGCAAAATAAAACCAAAGCAGCCTGCAGACACAACAGAATTAGCCAACCAAGGATTTTTCAGTAGGAAATGTCTAAAGATCCAATATGCTTATTTTAGTATTTAGAAACTTAATAACTTAACATCTCATCTTAATA